TCACCCCCCACCCCCCCGAGCAGTCTCCTGTTCCTTCACTTGCAGTAGTTGCTCGCAGGCAGAGCATAAGAGCCCTGGATGGGCCCGTTCTGGCCCCCGGGCCTTATGTTTGACGCGCCTGTTAATGATATCCTCCCACACACTAATTAACATGGAGCGCAATCTACTGAGAATCTACTGAGAAGTTCTCCTGCATTGTGCCTCCTTGAAATTAATGGAGTTGGTGGGAAAGGCTTCTGCTCCACCAGGACCCAGGAGAGTAGAGGACACTGGGCTATGTGGACTGTGGGTACTCACTTAATATGATGCTGATCCTAGCTTAGAAGCAACAAGGCCCCAAGGACCACTGCCTCCAGCGTGTAGCCCCAAGGCTCGCTGATCCAACCCTCAGTGACTGTGGTGCGCTGGTTAAATTGAAAGCAGATCTTGGGTTTTGCACAGTAGAAGTTTATGCCCCAGCTGCTTCAAGTACACAGAGGTAGGGATGCCAGCCTCCAGGTGGGACCTGGGGATCTCCTGGAATTATAGCTCATCTTCTGACTACAGAGATCTGTTCCCCTGGAGAAAATGGATGCTTTGGAGGGTGGACTGCATGGCCTCACTGAGGTCCTGATCCACTATAGGTTGTACCCCTAAATCTCCAGGAGATTCCCAACCTGGATTTGGCAACCCTATCCCCCACCGGTGGGCAGAGAGGGGACCTGGTAACTGTACACAGAGGCTTGTTACTTTAGAAAATAAATGGACATTCTTTATTGTAGGAGAATTCCATGCTTGATAGGAAAGATCAAGGTTTCTAGCTACCCAACTAAACTAGGATGGTGAGAGGTTCAAGTCAGCATGTCCAGTTTTCATCGACAGGCAAAGAAAGAGACAGGCAGGAAGAAGGAAGTCCTAAGAATAGCAATGCATGTGTGGCAAAGGGACAGCAGCAGATTGGACTGAAGGTCAGGTACAGGAAGTGCCCTATATAGCCTTACCAACTCTGCTGATGTCTGTGCTCGCATTAAGCAATATTGTTGCATCCATTCCTTCTAACACAGACTGCAGCTGGGAAGACCCAGCTTCAAATTCCTGTGCAGTCACATAACTGACTTTGGGTCAGGCACCATCTTTCCGTTTTATGTGGGTTGGATCCAGGCTAATGTCTCCACGGTCCAGGATGCCCACCCGTACAATGTGATTTTTCCACCTCCCCTGTTCTGAGGCAGCCCCAAAAGCTTCTTGAAACACTGTTGCCAGGAGAGAGGCGGCCCCCAGGAACAAGATTTCAGGCTGCCACAGTGTGTGTGGGGGGGATACAGAAAAATGGCATTCTGTAGGCAGAAGTACTTGCCTGTGAAAATGTTAAGTCTAGATCCAAGCCAAGGCTTGTTCTGAGGGTGAAGAGGTCCATATTCCCCCCCAAGCACACAAATATATCAATCCAGGTGCACAGAGTAGATCATTTGAAAAGACCTCTGCAAAGTAGAAACAAATGGGGGTCAGGGTTTCCAGCCGTGCTCTTGAGGCCATTGTGTCTGCTCCTGTTTGCATTATCATGTAGGAAGCCCTGGGGCACCAGGTGGAGCGGGTATCAGGCCACTCTTGAATTTGTGGGAGGAAGACAGCCTCTTAAATCTTCATGATAATCTGAACAGGAGCAGATTAACGGCCTTCAGAACCACAGCCTGAAATTTATTTACTCAAGATCACAGCCCGAAAACTCAAAAGCTCACATGCAGTTTGTGTGGGTTTTGGTTGGTGATAATAAACAGTGATGCAACGAAATGAAATTAAGCAAACTCTGGAGCACGATGGAAGACAGGAGGGCCTGGCATGATGTGGCCCATGGGGCCACGAAGAGTTGGACTCGGCTGTGCAAATGAACAACAATAAACAATATTTTTGATCCCTAGAACTTCTGTCATCTCCATGGCTGGAAACAACTTCTTCCCAGTACCCTGGGTAGCCCCAGCCTGTCGGACTGGACAGTATTAGTCTAAGGGATACTATTTGTAGCTTCTTATGTCAACCCTGCTTCCAGTGCAATCACTTTGAAGGCAGGCAAGGCACCAGCCTATTTGTTTTCTTGCTTGGGTGCCTCTTTTAGTTCCTAAACCTGGCAATGTTGCTGCTGCCTCTCAGCTAGGTGGCCTAAAAGAATTTATGTGGAACTCACAAGCCCTGCAGCTGTACCCAGACGGGACATTTCACACTGGCTAGCCACAGACGGACAAATTTCACTTCTAGAAAGCAATACTTGTTCCAGAAAGGATGCCCACAGTTTCGATTTCTTGCGCATACTTACTTGAAGAGCAGAGGAAACATGAATTGAAAGCCCTCTGGCACCTCTTCAGCCTGTCACATGCCGTCACTTACTTGGAAAGAAGTTCACAATGGCAGTAAATGACTGTGGACTGCTTAAGCAACATGCATAAGTTCTTCATGGGTTAAAAAGGAGAGGCAGACTGCTGTAGTGACAGAAAATGCTATTTATCAAATGTTGTGTCAAAAGGTTCTAATCCCAACTCTGCCAGTCATATACTTTCAGCCTAATCTACCTCACAGGTTTGTTGTGAGGATAAAACCGATGAGAACCTATGTCATCGCTTTGTGTCAACATTGGGAGAAAGGCTTACATTACAGCACGCTCTGCAGCAGCAACTGAAGCCCTTTGGCATTTTCTCACCCACAATTTGTATCAGATTTATCTATGCCAAAGAAAACATGGTCTAAATTGGAAGGAAAGGCTTAGAGAGTGTAATGTGATATTTTAGACTCTAATACGGGGGGGGGGCTGTGTAGCATTAGCAGACAGAGATAGAATTCAACAAGATCGGAACACACTGGAAAAGTGCATGGTTGTGAACAAGATGCAATTTAACAAGGATAAGTGCCGAGGTTTACATCTGGGTAACAAAAATGAGGAACATGCATACTGGATGGGGGATGCACTTCTGAGTAGCAGTGTGTGTGAACAAGATCTTGGGGTACAGGTGGACCAAAAGTTAAATATGAGTAGCCAGGGTAATGCAGTGACAAAAAAGGCTAATGTGATATTGGGGGGTATCAACAGAGGAATAACATCCAGATCACAAGATGTCACAGTCCTGCTGTACAGTGCATTGGTCAGGCCGCACCTGGAGTATTGTGTGCAGTTCTGGAGGCTTCACTTCAAAAACGATATGGACAGAATGGAGCAGGTGCAGAGGAAAATGACAAGGATGATCAGGGGCCTGGAGACCAAGCTCTGTGAAGAAAGGCTGAGGGATTTGGGAATATTTAGTCTGAAGAAGAGGAGGTGGAGGGGGATATGATTGCTCTCTTGAAGTATCTGAAGGGCTGTCACTTAGAGGAGGGCAGCGATCTGTTCCTGTTGACAGCAGAGGATAGGACTCACAAGAAGGGGTTTAAATTAAGGGCGGGAAGGTACCGTCTGGATCTTAGGAAAAGCTTTTTTACAGTAAGAGTTGTGCAACAGTGGAATCAGCTGCCTAGGGGGGTGGTGAGCCTCCCCCTCACTGGCAGTCTTATAGCAGCGGCTGGGCAAACACTTGTCCGGGAGGCTCTAGGCTGATCCTGCATTGAGCAGGGGGTGGACCTAGTTCGCCTGTATAGCCCCTTCCAACTCTGTGATTCTGATTCTATGAATAGGGAGAGCACTGCATGCTTATTATGAAAACTTTGCAATGCTGCAGAATACTCCCTAAAGTAAAAGAATGGAACACACTCAGACCCCTTTCACATTACAGTTCTTAAACTAGACTTATCCATTGTTGGCCCAGTTCCAAGTAAGGCAATACAAGGATGGTGGTTTCATACAGTGAATTTCATTCCATTAATGAGCATTCTCTGAAGCAATCTGGCCACTTCAAACAGTGCTGCACTCCACCCCCCCTTTTTTGCCATGCAATCATCCTCAAACTTTTAAAAAATGTTCTAAGTTGAGTGCTATAGCGCTAGACCAATATAGCACTTCAGAGCTACAGCGGCTGTTGAGATGCCTTGACACCACTGAGATACACTTAGATCGTGGCTGCTGTTAGCAACTTCTGTAACACCAGTCACCGATTCCCAGAGCACCTGTTGTCCAGTGAGCTACTTCTGCAATCTCAGTGTATCTCAAGGAAGATTACATGGTGGAAAAGGGCACTGGGGAAAGCACAGTACTCTTAGAAGCAATGCAGACATTTTAAGCAGCACACTACAGTTATTCAGAAGCGCAAAGAGGTGTTTAAGCTTTTCCTCATCTTGCCAAATATCTTGTCTGCTTGGAAATCTCCCCCCATTTCTTGTACTTTCTCCTCTCTTGGGTCCCTCTTTGCCCCTTCAGCATTATTTCTCTAATGGACACCAATGAATTTCTTCTCTTGCTTTCTCTCTCCCGGACAGCCCATGCCTTTCCCTTCACTTGTTCTGTCTTCTGTCATGTTGAGGAGTACTATAATTGTCTGAGATCTGGTTTCCACATGTAAATAAATCAGGAGTGGCAGTAAAGTGGCAAAAATGTGAAGTGGTGGAATGAATTGCCCCATACCCTGCAGGCAAAGAACTGCAGAAGACCAAGTTTTGGAATAGTTCCCTATCAAGCTAAACAAAACAAAAAACCACAAAAGCATACCTATAAATATTAAATCAGCGCAACAAGCAAAAAAAGAGAGAACCGCTATGCTAGCTATTTATTTATAATTTGCATGGGATTTTTAAAGCAAAGGAATAATGTTGGTGTGAGCACGTGAGGTTTGTGTTAACAATATCCATTTTTGGAGGTGACGAATTCATACGGTCGCCATAAGTCGGAAGCGACTTAAGGGCAGTTAGCACACACAATATAATGTTTGGTATGAAATTTGTGTTCTGATCGTTTGGATTTTACTTTGGATTGTTCACAAGAAATCTGACAACTTCTGCTCCTCTATGGTTACGGGCCGCCTAGACAAGATCCACCCTCACGTTTCCCGCTCCGTTCTGGGCCGCTGCCAGGCAACAAGCTCCGTCACTTCCGGCGGGGCCTAGCAGCAGCTCCGCTCTGTGGAGGTCGGGGAGGAGGCGCTCAAGATGTTGTCGGTCCCGGGCTCTGGAGGCGCCCCTTCGCCGGGCTTCGGCGCCGGCGAGGCCGGGTCGGGCTCCGGGGGCGACTTCCTCACCCGCTACCGGCTGGTGTCGGCCAAGCTGCGGCGGCGCTTCCTGCGGAAGCCCAACGTATCGGAGGCGGGCGAGCAGTTCGCGGCGCTGGCGCGGGAGCTGCGGGCCCAGG